TTGGACAAGGTTCTGCCTTTAACAGCTGCGCGAGGTGCAACAGCTTCCTTTGTAGCAGCCTAGCCACAAAACTTTTCCAGAGAGGAGAGGGGTTGGCCGCATTTGGAGCAGGCCTTTCCAGAAAAGAGCCCCGCTGATGACAGCACCTTGGCTGATCTCAAAACAGTTCAACAAAGTTGGATCTGGTTGGATGGGAGACCACAAGGAAATCCCAAGACTAGACGGGAAAGGAAAACAAGCTTCCCCAAAGTCAATGGCAAGCCACTTTGCTTTTGCTGCCAAGAAAAGAGTGTGGGTGTGTCCACAAGTTAACAGAAATGAACTGGGTTGTTTTCTTTTACGTTCTGGCAGAACAAGGCATTGAGAGAGAACCCCCAGCTCAGGACCTTGTTTCCCTCTCCTGCCTGGGGACTGAGGCATCCTGGCACCTTGCCCACATGATCTAAATCAGTGCTGCTCAATCTCAGCAACTTTAAGAGGTGGGGACTTCAACTCCCAGAATTCCCCAGACAGCATTGCAGTCCACACCTCTTAAAAGTTGCTGAGGTTGAGAAACACTGCTGGCTAGGGAATTCTGGGAGTTGAAGTCCACGCCTCTTAAAGCTGCGGAGGTTGAGAAGCACTGATCTAAATGCAACCTTGTGGCTTGAGGGACGGGTGGCGGGGTGGGGTCCGGATTGTCCATGGCTGTGGCTGTTTACTTTGACCATCTGCCTGATCCATCCGTTCTGCATTCCTCTCTGGAGGGTTGGGATGCCAACTGTAGCCGCCCCCTCGGTGCTGCAAGAGACACATTGTTCTCTGTTTAGGCCCACCATGGGATGGAAAAATGCCACCCAGACGGACGCAGCTGGTGCAGAAAGACAAGGAAGATTCCTGCAGCACGGCTATTAAGGCACAGGGTGGCATTTCCTCCGTTAGAATCGCAGCTTTTGCTACTGTAAAAGCAAAGTGCAGATTCAGTGTGGGTGAGCTTGCGTTCACGTCCAATTAAAAGTTTAAAAAAAGTTCCAATCAGGTTGGTTTAAATCCCATCAGATGGTAGACAGTGCAGGTTTTTTATTCCTTGGGAAGAACAACAGCCTTTTCTTGGCAACCTCAGTTTTCTCCTCTGATCTATACTGGCATTATCTTGTTCCCAAGGTAACAAGGACTATACAGGTAGTCCCCGGGTTAAGAACGCCCAGTTTACAGAAAACCCACGGTTAAGAACTATTGTAGCAAAATTGGAGTTAAATACACAATGATTTGAGATAAACACACAATGGTTTGAGTTAATTACACAACGCTACTTATACAGTATTATACAATAATACTGTTCCGGCTTACATACAAATCAACTTTAAGGACAGACCTTGGGAACGGAACTCGTTCTTAAACTGGGGACTATCTGTATGTCAAACATGGAGATCCTTAGGATTCTGGAAAGTAACTAGTTTTTCCTGCTAAACAACAACAAAAAAGCCATCAAGATAAAAACAACACAAAAAAAGACATAGCGCAATTGTGGCCAGCCCAGAATCAATTCAGTTTCAAGCTACTACAGGCAGGCTCATCCACCCGCCTGGCTCAATGTCCCAGGACAAACCTGGGTCTTCAGAGCCTTACAGAAGGCCAACGAGATGGGGACCATCCGATTCTCAGGGGCTGTGCTGTTCTGGAGGGCAGGGGCCGCAGCAGGGAAGGCCTTGGTCTTGCCAGATGACACTTTGATAGAGGGGACTCTGAGCACATCTACCCTGTCAGATCTGGTGAGATGGGCAGAATCTGTTGGCGATAGACAGTCCTGCAAATAACTTGGCCCTATACCATGGAGGGTTTCATTGATCATAACCAGCACCTTGAACTGCACCCAGAAGCCTACTAAGAGCCAGGACGATGCATTCTGGCCTGGTATCTGCAGACTCAAAAGCAGCGGGAAATGACTATAGTTTGCCACTCCTATCGCCATGAGAGAAACCATAATAAAGAGTTCTCCATCAGAGCTCTAAGTGCTTTTTCTGATGCTTCCTCTCTTGGAATTCATCTCGAAAACCAGGGATCCACACACAAAGATGGTCTACGTAGGGGCAATCCTGTCTAAGGCCTTTGTTGCCCCCTCATTCTGAGTGATGAAGCTTCAGCTGAACCCTGCATCAGCCTCAGGAATGACTAAGGTTACCCCATATCTGAACAGGCAAAGGAGGATATGGACAATTGGAAAGGAGGAAAAATGGGGAGGGGAGGACTCACTAACTCTTTAATTTTCTTAGCATCTGCAACAAAAATTACAGTGAAAAACTGCAAAAAATGTACTTAGGCCTACACGAATTATGAAATTACTTTTTTCAGCCTCAGAAAGACTGGTTTTTCAATTGTGATATTTTTCCAAGGAACATATGCTAGCGATCATATAGAATCAACGATGATGCACTTTTCAAATTTCACCCTAGAAAAGTATGGCAAGTCATGGGATCTACAGTGATCACAGATTTGAAGGGGCTGGCTTGAAGCTGATTGCTGGAATCAGGATATAAATAATGTAACTTACAAGATCATGATACAGGGAATCCTTGGGTTACAATGGCAATTGGGACTGGAATTTTCGTTGCTCAGCGAAGCGGCTGCAAAGTGTGATGTCATGTGACCGCACCACTTAGCAACGGTATTCCCAACATTCCCCGTTATTGTTAAGCAAGGATCACAGGTCATTAATTGAGGATCTCCTCGCAACTTCCTGCCAGCTTCCAACAAGCAAAGTCAATGGGGAAGCCAGGAGGAAGTCGCAAATCCCAGGCAGCTCGTAAGCAGGCCAGTGAGCAGGTAAGTGGCTACTGCTGGAGGGTGAGGAGGGTGTGCAAGCGGCCGGTGCAGTGTGGTGCAAGTGCAGCAGGGCCGGGGTGGCTGCTGCCGGGTGGGGGAAGATGCACAGGTGGCCACCATGGGCAGAAGGATTCCTGCAGGCACCATAGGTGGGCTCCTCGGGGGAAAAAGCCGCTGGAGTGCAAGTGACGTACCAGAGCGACTTGCAACCTTCCGTGCCAGCTTCCCCACTGACTGCCATGTGACCGTGGGGGCACTGGGACAGCCAGATCTTTGAGGACCAGTCATAAGTATCACTCATTCAGTGCCATCATAACTTCAAACGGTCGCTGAACGAGTGGTTGTTAACTGAGGACTACCTGTACTCAAAAGTTTGAATGACTACTGTTGTGAACAGTCCAAAATAAAGTAAAATTTAAAAAGATACTCAAAAAGCCAGACAATATTTGATTTTAAGGCTATGCCTGGTGGATGGAGGACATGAAGACAAAAAGGAGGACCATCCTTTCTCTCTCTGCCAGGGAGCAGCTGCTGAGAACTCCAACTCAAGCAGAGTGATCTGTTAAGCCAGTGTTGTCCAAACCTGGCCACTTTAAGATGAGTGGACTTCAACTCCCAGAA